ATGCCAAAATTATTAAGGATTACGCAGAATTGTATCAGCATATTGCTTTCTTCGAAGAGGACCCAGTTAACCAGGCAAAAATGCAAAAACGTCGCGCGAAATACTATGAAGATTTACTTGAACTCCTCAATCCAGTCTTCTATATGGGTATCTGTCGCGAATGTTGGTATGGCGCCGGGCTCTCCTATTGTGCCATTTTAGATATTAAATTAGATGCACTAAAAGAACGTCGTACCCCACAGCCACACGATTTACAAAAGATAAATCAAACCTGCCAAAAAGCAATACAAAATTTCCAAGAATTTGTAAAATCGTACACGGACAAAGATAGTGACACGATCAAAGCCAGTGCTGACGCGGAGGAGCAACGCAACGTGCTCTATGCCTACTTTCATTTGGGACGCTTACATTTCAAAATGATAACACCCGATCTAAACTTGCAACTTGAAAATATGAATAATAGCCTCAAGTATTATAAACTTTTTACGGATGAATGTGCAGCCCGCAAAGAGATTGCCGAAACGCTGAACGCCGAAGTGGGCGTTTGCCGTGAAATGGTTAATTTGTTGCCGCTGAAAATTGCCAATATAAAAAAACGTTTGCCAAAGTAGATGCACCACATCCACCACATGTATCACATGCGACATTTATTTATTTATTGCATTTAAATTTTAGTTGAAATTGATTGAGGATTGAGACATTTTAATGTGATAACTTGTGTAAAAGTGATTCAGGCGACGGTGCTATTTTGGTACCTCCATGGTTTGCTTCTGCTTGAGAAAAGTAAGTTCGGAACTGTCCAATAGAATGCAATAATTTAAAATGAACGCTTAGGGACAAATACATACAATGTAGCTAAATACGTTGCCAATTTGGTTAATAATTAAATGAATTTTAGAATTGCAATAATAAATACAGGTGGATGGTTTTTCAAATCAATATGTAATTCGACCGTCTAAGGGCTGTGCACAAACATTCTCTATATGTACGGTGACCAGATTTCTGTGGACCAAAACAGGGACATTTCTAAAGCATCAAATCCGAGCATACAATTTTATTTTTAGAATAAAAAGACATAATATCCTTTAATACAGGTTTATTTAATACAAAACAAAGAAAAAAACTTGATTGTGATCTCAAAAATATATACACACTATATGCATATATGTTTTAACAAGTTTTGGCTACTTTTCTATGTAATAATGTTTATGACTGTTTTATGAAAATATTGCTTACTAATATCTAAAAAAAAAAATCTGTATATCAAGATTTCAAACTTTGTAGAACATTTACAAAAATTCGACGAATTTTGACAAATGTTGGTCGAAATTTTAAACTTTTTAATCAGATTTTTAGAATTTTTTGAGCGTGCAGTTTTGTAGCCAATCAAATTTTAGTACATATAACAAAGTGCAAATTCGAAGTAGCTTAGACTTGCTGGCAATTTTTTGTTCGCGCATTTTCGTCCATACAAAGTGTGTTCGACAATTTTTTTGTATGGGGAAAATGGTCAACATCTTCCACAAAAAAAATTTATATTTTTAAATTCGCCTTCGTTTTACTAGAATTGAATGGGCTACAAAACTGCATACTCTGAAGCTTTCTAAGAAATATATTAAAAAAGCCCAAAATTTTGATAAAACTTTGTCGAATTTCGCTAATTTTTGTACAAAGTTTGATTTAAATGGTTTTTGTTATATAACGAGCTACACTTTCATAAAAAAATAATAAACATTAAATAATCTAAAGGGGAATGGCCAAGAAATGCTAAAATGTCTCTTCCCTATCTCTATTTTCGCCAATGTATCACGAGCTTATATTTTATTATAATTTCACTAAATTCAGGATAGAATCGCTTCATTCAAAAAAAAAAAATAAAAAATAAAAGATATAAAAACCTTATAAAAATGTTCGACAGGAATGATGACAGCAATATAGCGAGAGTAGCAGGTACATCGGTACTGTCCCGCCAAAATCGGTACGAATGGTCACCGTATCTATATGTATTTCCGAACCTTCTAGTCATAATCTATCCACAATAACGAATATAAAAATAAGTTTCCTTAACTATTACTTATAATAACTAATCCCGTTCATGCCTTATGCAAGAGTCGTAACTATTATACAATTTAAACCAAAAATAAAAATTTAAATTAGCATAAAATTTCTCATAAGTTTGGAAGAAAAAAAGGCTTCTGTTTTATTTCAATAAAAAAGTAAAATAAATTTTAATTCACATCACAATGAAGCAAACTTGTTCTTTTGTGCAGTCGTAACTCTTTCTTTCGATCCCAACGAGCATTTAATTGTTATCGCTCCCGCCTTATGAATCTTCAATTCCTTATACAGATTCTCAGCTAGACGTCTTATCGGCATAGCTGTAATGCCGTCGAGCAGATTTTCCCGCGCATACTTCACCGTCTTGTCCACAATGTCATCAACATTTATACAACGCGGATCTATATGCGTATCATCTTCCAACAGCTGCATAAGTAAGCGCGTAGTTTTCTCGCTTTTAAATTCCTCCAATGGCAAGAGCTCAATAAGCTGCTCGAATAGATGCAACAATATGAATTGTGTTCTATTCAGCACAGCATTCGAGTGGTCCAAAGTCGTCAGCACATTCTGATAGATGCCGCTAATCAATTCCTCTGTATTCACTTCAGACGACTGGTAATCGTATGCGTTGAGCACATCACGAAACATTTTCGCTAAATTATCCTTGGACATATGCAGCAGATACTTTTTCGGCATCATCGATTCCAGCGCTTGCGTTATACAATCCAATATGCCATCGGTTATGTTGCCTTCGAAGGTGTAGGCAGCTTGTGCCAGATAGCGTGTGGCCTTCTTTGCATTCTTACGTATATTATCGGCGGTGGCGTGCCGATTGAACCACTGTGCGAAATATTTTTGTACAACTTTCTTGATGCGATCGATAGTAAACTGATCTGGTTCGATGCGTTGCATAAAAGCTTCGGGTGCTAATATTTTGGGGCAGTTAACATCATCATCATCCACTTCGACAGTCTTTTCAATTTTATCTTCCTGGACGACTTCGTGAAATAACTGCAGTGGTTTGGATTTCAAGCGTAATGTGCAAATTTCACGCTCCAGGCACTGCAAATATTTGGGGCGAGGGAGAAGTAACAAAAACTATGAATCGAGTAATTTAAAAATACATAAATAGGTAGTACACATAGAATCTACATAGCCCTCTAGTTCCTTACGATCTTCTTAGTATGTGTTCACCAAAAAAACATTTTATTTAGCATCCAGACAACGCTGAAGGCGTCCAGCCGAATCATTCCTCACCAATATTCACACACCCGGAGGTACAGAGAGCTAAAGGTAAATCATAAGCGTCTAAATCCATAAGCGGCATCTAGGACAAAGGCAAATAAACGTTGTTCGCAACATACAAGGCAAAACACGGCACTCCGGACACCCGAACAGACATCTGCTTGCGGCTGAGCCCTCGCCAAGGCATGACGGAAGGCATCTTTACAAACTGACGGACGAGGTCCAGAGGTTCATAAAACAACCACTGACCCCGACAGCGTACCGATGGGTATCGCCGATCTAAACGGGGTTAGGTCGTTAAAACAACAACAACTGCGTACCTACAGGCCATAAACGGCATTCACAGGGAATGGGTCTCAACTTACACCAACTCCGCACCTGTGATTGCCGTTTTAGGAATGCAAACACCCGACGTGATCGAGAACGACGTTTAAGAGATTTCGCCGACCTAAACAGGGTTAGATCGCCGAAACAACAAACCTTGGTCGGGAAAAACTCAAAGTCATTTACGTCGTGGTATGTCTGGTCATGGGGTGACTATCCGCACGGTATGTCACCACATGACCAGACATACCTTTCCTCATGCCCACTAAACCCCACTCAACTCACGCGCCCCTCTCTGTGGTGAAACCAGTCGGAGTGGCACATTTCTCGGGCCTCCCGTTGGTTGAGCTTGACGACAAATACTTAGGGGCAAGCCGACCTAGGCAGTGCTCAGTAAGCCACTACAACAACAATAGAGAAGGAACACTGCGTCCGTACTTGTGGCGCTCGGACCGTCAAAGCCCTTTGCAACGCGGCACACATCGGACTCTAGGTAGGGTTAAGTAGGCACTACAACAATAAATATACCCTTACAAAGCTATCTGCCGATTTGCAGTAAACAATGCAACTCCAGTGGGTGATGCGATGAATCGGGAGACATATCTGACAGATTTGCACCTGGTGGAATCACCACTAGCACTAGCAATACCGCGCCATCACTGTCGATCAAGTTAGCCTACCGCGCGAGACGAGATCAATACTATATTATTTAACTCTGGTCCGCTTCGTGCTTCGGAAATCGCTAAAGCCGGCCCTGCATATGTAAATAAACCATATAACACCGTCCGCTTGTTTGTCTGCCCTATATACCCTGCCCGTCTGTCATCAGAGCCCACATTTTTTGGGACTTTAGCTGGAGAATTCTGATGTGGATGACAGCTCACTTGGGGAAAAGTAATGTAACAACACTTTTAGGAGGTTTGCAAATAAATAAAAATGAAATAGAAACCCCTAATCGCTCCCACCACGTAATAAGAATCATTCCCCGAAACATGCTGGGAAATGTTTCCCCTTACTTACCTCAATTGTCTGCTTCTGCTCCTTGTGTATTTGCGTGAGCTTTTCTACGTCTCGATCAAGATTCACTTTATGTGGCTGCATCCATTTCTCGAAGTTCTTCTCCTGTGCTTTCAAAATTTTATGCAAAAAGTTCTTCTCCTCATTCAAAACGGTCAATATGTTAGACTTTTCCGCGCTGACTTTTGTTTCACGTATCAGTTCGTCCTCCAATAACGCCAACTCCGCCTAAAAGAGGTAATTGAAATTGTTAAAAACAAAATCTTATCCTTCTAACATCACTACTTTTACACCAACCCTCACCTTCCTTCTCGCTATTTCTCTCTCGATTTGTCGAAATTCCTCCTCAGCGGACGTTTCCAAATCGAATACATACCTGCGCAAAACCTCCTCCTCCAATTCATCCAAATTGATGATCATACCGAATTTCTTAATCATCGCCTGCTTGATGGCAGCCTCCAATCGTGTGATTTCGCTGCGCATAAATTTAATGTCGGTATTCATGCGACGCAAATGTACTACATTGATACGATGCAGACGTCGAGTCTCCAGTGTTTCTTCATTCAACTGGGAGACACGATCTTTCAGCTGATTCAGGCGTTCAGCATCGAATAGTATGGCACGACTTAAGTCTAAATAATCTTCGCCTGGTCTGAAGTGTTGCAATTGATCCATTGACAACACTACACAGATTTTGATTTTGTTTAGTTCTTGTTGGCGTTTGCGCTAAAAAAAAAAAAAATCGATAATTAACAGTTACTACTGCAGCTGAGGAAGTAAAAACGCATGCTCACCCGAAAAACCGTTAACGTTTCCTTCTCCTGCGCGTAGACTTCTTCGTGATACTTCATTTTCTTTTGCAGCTCAGCCACATCTGCACGTCGTTGCTCTATGCTTTTTTGTGTCTCTGAGAGCACCTTTTCAAGAGCATGCCGCTCGGAACGCAGCTGAAAAGCCAAGTCGTACGTGCTACGTTCCAGCCCTGCAGGACAGTGACTTTCATCTAACCGTATCGTAGTAATATCCGTTGAATCAATACTTTTGGCATCGGCATCCTCATCCTCGCTGGACGACTCGTCGCTCGAGGAGGACTCAGAAGATTCTTAAAGAAAAAAATGGTTTTTAACACTGAATGCTATCACAAGAGAGACAACCAACATCTTCTACTACATAGTCTACGTTCCCACGACAGTCGGGTCTACGTAACCGGAACGACCTAGATTTATATCTGGCCAAGGACTGTCACTCCAGCAACACTCCCCAAAAAGTCTTTTGGGAATTTGTATGCTGCTACAACAACAACTACATTGTGACATTCAGAGATCACAATGACCAGCCTGATTTAGNAAAAATCGATAATTAACAGTTACTACTGCAGCTGAGGAAGTAAAAACGCATGCTCACCCGAAAAACCGTTAACGTTTCCTTCTCCTGCGCGTAGACTTCTTCGTGATACTTCATTTTCTTTTGCAGCTCAGCCACATCTGCACGTCGTTGCTCTATGCTTTTTTGTGTCTCTGAGAGCACCTTTTCAAGAGCATGCCGCTCGGAACGCAGCTGAAAAGCCAAGTCGTACGTGCTACGTTCCAGCCCTGCAGGACAGTGACTTTCATCTAACCGTATCGTAGTAATATCCGTTGAATCAATACTTTTGGCATCGGCATCCTCATCCTCGCTGGACGACTCGTCGCTCGAGGAGGACTCAGAAGATTCTTAAAGAAAAAAATGGTTTTTAACACTGAATGCTATCACAAGAGAGACAACCAACATCTTCTACTACATGGTCTACGTTCCCACGACAGTCGGGTCTACGTAACCGGAACGACCCAGATTTATATCTGGCCAAGGACTGTCCCTCCAGCAACACTCCCCAAAAAGTCTTTGGGGAATTTGTATGCTGCTACAACAACAACAACTACATAGTCTACTTAGCACAACGCAACTTAACTCAATATATTCTTCTCAACGTCATTGACATTCAGAGATCACACTGATCAGCCTGATTTACATCAGCCAGAATAGCACTTGAAAAGAAAGCAGCTTCTTTTGTTGAGCAAAAGAGAAATCTCCTTGGCTATTGGTCTGTTGACCGGTCGCATCACTTTAGGGAAGCACGGGTAGAGGACTTTTAGGAGCAGTAGAAACGAGGAGTAGTCTTACTCAGTAAAACACTTACTTCAAGACTGCCCCGAACTGGGAAAGAAGAGACTCAGGTTCATGGCCGCGCGAAACTTTTGTGACCTGAGCGAACGGGTGGACATAAGAATAAAGCGATTGCTCAACTGTACTTATTGGTTTGTATCAGGGGTGGGAGAGAAGAATGAATGGGAATCCCATTGGTGCAACAACGGACAAGATTGAGATCCTTATTGGGCTTGTGTGCTAGTTCAGGACTATTTAAGGATAATTTCGAACTACTCCAAAATGCTCCTAATTCTAAAACTGTCTTGGAGTTCCGGAAATAACACTGAACTAGTCCCGAAATGNGTTTGTATCAGGGGTGGGAGAGAAGAATGAATGGGAATCCCATTGGTGCAACAACGGACAAGATTGAGATCCTTATTGGGCTTGTGTGCTAGCTCAGGACTATTTAAGGATAATTTCGAACTACTCCGAAATGCTCCTAATTCTAAAACTGTCTTGGAGTTCCGGAAATAACACTGAACTAGCCCCGAAATTGTCTTGAAAAAGTCGTAAAAAATATTCCAAAATCGCCTCGAAATAGTCCCAAATCAGTCCCGAAATGGTAAAAATCGCGGAAAAGTCCTCAGCTAGAGTCAAATGGACCTGAACTCGTACCGAAATGGTCCTGAATTAGTCCTGAACAGGTCCCGAAATAGTCATGAAATAGGTCTTAAAATGCCCCCGAAACAGCCGGAAAATCATACACTTGTCCCAAAATAATCTCGGACATGTCTGAAAACGGTCCGGAAATGGTTCTATATTAGTTCCAAAACCATGCCGAATCAGGCTCAAATTGGTCCCATAATAGTTCCTAAAATGCTCCTAAACCAGTCTTGATATGGTCCAGGACTAGTCTCATAATGGTAGTAGCAAATTTTACCCACATCGAGAGCTAAGATCTTTACACTTCAAAATTTTACTTGCCGAAGCTTAAGACGTCTCACAAAAGGAAATCAAGAATTTGNCAAAATTTTACTTGCCGAAGCTTAAGACGTCTCACAAAAGGAAATCAAGATTTTTTTTTATTTTTACACTCACCATCATCAGCCTTGGGTGGCTTTGGTGATCGCCATTTCTTTTTGAATATGCGCCGCAAGAAATCGAAGAATTTATGCCCCTTGCAGGTGGTCATGAATTTCTGCTGCACCGCTATTATTTGCTCGTTTAATCTATCGACATTCTTTTTGCTCTCCTCGATTTGCCGTTTTTTCGAATTGATCACCGCCTGCATTTCGTTGCGTGTCTTCATGGCCTCATCAGCATTGTATAGCAATTGATTTTCGATCTCTTCGCTATCGCGTAATATATTCAATTCTTGATTCAAAGTAATACTATAGCAGTGCATGAACTCAGCTTCGTACGAAGCTCTACAACGCGTTGCTATCATTTCCTCCAGATCCTTATCGAACTCACTAATACGATTTTTCACCTTCAACACTATGCCACTCTGTTCATCCAGCAAATCGATTAGCCATTGATAGCGCGCCATAGACAACCAAGGCGCAAAACCGTCCTCGTTGCGCTCGAAGAAGTCTGGTTCAGTAAAACTGGCATAATCATCGAGTTCTGCGAGTATAGCACTAATATCCGGCAGCTCGTCCACTTCATAGGCATGCAAAGATTGGTGTAACGAGTATTCGATCTTATCGCGCGCCGTCACATTCTGGTCGAATGACGGCGGTGGTGGTGGCTCCGGCAGTAAGTCATCAACTTTCTTCTCCAAATACAGTATATCTTCGATTTCTATGCCACAGCCTGGCTGGCAATTCTCCTTGAGATTACGCTCTGGATACTCAGCGTTCATATCAATATTTCCTATGGAAATCAAAAACTCGCGATTTATGTGTGGTAGAAATGAGTGCAACTGTTTCAATCGCTTATGCGACTCTTCTATATACTTGTAATACTCCCATTTGCGTTTGCGCATTTGCATCAGTTCCTTATTGAAGCGATCTAAAATGAGAAAATGTGCTTGCCTTGCATTCACCACTTCAATGTATTTGTAGGTGAGATTTTCGTTGACTCGCGGCTCATAGTCGTAGCCAATTTTGAGCTTGTAATCGCCAAGATTTTTCTCCGCTTCGGCAATTTTAAGCTCATCTTGCGGATGATTCTTGTTCGGATCGGGTTTACCCATTTCCATCCGCTCCCAATTATATATACGCTCGATTTCGTGCAGTTGGCGAGAGCGATAGCGTCGCAATAGGCGGAGCATTTTCTTGCTAAAGCGTGGTATGATGGCGTTCGGATTACGACCGAAAAAGAAGTTCTCCTCACCCAGTTCGGGCATGCTGGGCTCCTTCTCCTCGGCAACGATCGGTTCAATATATCTGAGTGGTGATAATTGTTATTAATGTTAATATAGGGTGCCGTTATTCTAAAAGGAAAATTGGTGCTGAAAAGTAGAATCTACAATCTACTTGAGAAGACAGAAAATAGTGCTTATGCTGTACGAGTTAATCAGCCTTATCATGAGTTTCATTTTCCCCGAATCGGTTCACTTTTCACTTTTGGTTTCCATATACAATTTACTATGGACGGAATGAAAATTTTCGGGTGAAGTTTGTTTCGGACGAAGCTCGGGATAAGGCAGATTATATTTTAAGACTTCCGCTAAAATATTTCGGAAAAGTGTTGACATTTTCGTGAGTTGGACCTATTTGAAAATACCTCTACAAATCGAGTTTTTTTTTTTATAAATAAAACTAGTTTTAAGAAATATTTTCTCCAAAAAATCACCTCAGATGTGCGATCAATTAATCGAACAAGCTGATTAAACGAAACCTGATTAATTACTTAATCAAAGAATAACCATTTTTGATTAAGCAAAGTAATTACATTTTAATGTAATCTATTTTCTTAATCAGAAAACTGATTAATCATAACCTGATTAATCAGTAACCTGAATAATTTCGGATATATATTTTTTTATAGAAAAAAGTTAATATATATACATATTAATTTTTTATGATTAAATCACGATTAATCGTACATCCCTGCCTCAGATGATAGAAGATTTATGCTTAAAAGGTCCGGTCCAAGTAAAAATATTAAAAAATTTTATCAAGATAATTTTTCATTAATTAAATATTAATTTCATTGGTGCACTGCGGCTTACCTAAGTATTTTTTTAATATCGTCTGGCTAGCCATAGTTTATCCGCTATGTAAATAGCTAATGCCCTTTAGAATTTTTCGTTTTCTGTTACCATCGTGAGTCGAAGAAGAGTGCATATGTATAATCTAGTGCCACCTATACTAGCTTTAAGAAACTAAGAAATAAAAGTACACTCTTACTCGGTTTGTGTTGTTGGAAGCTCAGTTTCCTCCTCGCTTGGTAAGCATTAATAAAAAATAAAAAAATAGTTAAGAATCTCATAATCATGAATTTCGAAATCTCATCCTCACTTCAATAAAGTATAAAATACTTTTAGGGAGGCATAACAATGCTTAACTGTAAAAAATACTCTTTTTAAATATGCTACTCAGTGAGTAAACATTCACAAGAATATTTTACGTTTTCGAAATACATGGCGAAGGGTCGTTTTCTAAAGTAGCCTTAAAAATTTATTTGCCCTTTAAACACAAATTTTGCTCTTATAAAATGTGTTTGAAGGGCAGATAATTAAAACAAAAAAGCTGCCTTAAATCGTTAAAAGTGTATTTTTGTACCCTTTTTGAATAGTTTAGTCAAATATAACCAAAATAGTGAGGCCAAAAATATAAGACACAATGGGAGTTGCATTTAGGCGTCCATAAATCACGTGACATTTAAGAGATGGAGAGAGGGGCAGTTTATATTATATTGTTAGAGTAGCAGGAGGAATCAACCTTCCAGGGCTACCGTTAGTTGTTGCCATATTCATCATCCGACTCGGAGAGCCTTAGGCCCAAGAACAGTGCGACGTCCGGCTGCCAGGTGCGTCTAGTTCAGTGGTGCACACGTGAGCCAAACGAAGCCACTCGATCTCGTAAGGCAGCTACACCAGCCCGATTACAGTTATTCCGTTTCCTCGGTGGCTATGATTGATGAGCGGCCGCCGTGAACGTTCTTATCACGGCAGTGCTCAGATTGGTTCGCGCTATGTCGCGGTGTATATCGGTTAATAATTTGTGGTGTCGTCCTTCGGCTACAGCGGCTAGCGGCTACAATAACCCCGCCCAAATCGGCTAGTCTCTAAGTCGTTGTCGCCAAGCTCAACTAACGGTAGACCCAAGAAGCGTGCAGCTTCTATAGGGTCCGTCCATAGGGATAGAGGCGTCAATTGAGTGCGGTTTTGAGGGCATTCGAATCATGGGGTATCTCTCGACATGCTGGGCACTCATTGGACACATCCGCATCTAGTCTGCTCAGATACGAATTCAACCTGCTGCACTAGCCAGAGCGAAGTTGGGCTATTGTGGCCCGAGCCTCCCTAGGCAGACGAAGCTCGGGCTCGTTCACGTCAGGTGCTTGTGTGCCCAGAACGGCATTCACAGGTCTGGCGTCTACGTAACTTGAGACCAACTCCCAGTGAATGCCACTCAAGGCCTGACGATATGCTTCCGGCCCAGAGGTTGCTTTATGAACCTCTGGACTTCGTACGTCAGCTCGTATGGATACTTTCTGACGTGCTTTGGCGAGGGCTCCTCTGCAAGCAAGTGCCTGTTCGGGTGTCCACGTCCATGCCAGCTTCTTGGTTTACCACGTTCTTCGCTGCAACTTTATAGAAAACACACCCTTGAGCTTACCTACGCTTCGCTGCCTCCAGCAGCAAGCGCTCCTCGATCTCACCCTTGATTTTCTCAAATTCCTCTCCAAGTTTTTCTACACGAAACGAGGTGACACTTACATCTTTGCTGAAAATAATTTAATTATTTCGAAATTAGGATTTTAAATCAAAGCAAATTCCAAGCTTTACACTCACCTAATACCGCTCACCGTAAACGGCACATGTTCTAATTTCTTCAAAAAATGATTATACAACTTATTTTTACCAACTTCAGCCACCTCCAGGTCGTAGGCCAAATCATCGCGTACATCTTCCAATTCCGTTTGCAGCTCATCCTTGATTTGTTTAGTTATGCGTTCGTCCAGAAGCAGCTTGCGATCGGGCAGTTGCAACTCCTCTTCCAAAGGCAACATATCGCTTTTGATATCATTGAATTTCACCTGCAATTCACCGATTTGTGCCAATACTTTTCGGTCATGCGCTGCAGCCGCTTCCTCTTTGCGCTTAATTTCGGCATAGATTTTCTCCTGTTCTAATGAAGGATGCTCTGGATCGTCTATATCGTCAGCATAAAAATCCTTTAGCAGAGCATACTGCACCACATCCAAAGGACCACCCTGTTCTACTTTGGGTCCATGCCACTTGTAAGAGAAAATATTGCCATCATATCCAACGCTAAACAAATATTGGCCATCGTAGCTGGTCAAAATGCGCGATATAATTCCATTGTAGGAATCGTGCATGGCAAATAGACGATAATCGGCTAAATCTGTGAAATCGTTGACGGTTGTACGATTGATGCGCAATTTTCCATCTACCAAGCCGAAAATCAGGTAATCCTCACTGGAAGAGAGGAGGGAAGAGGAGAGAAAATAAATTTCAATATCTGCATAAGTTATTACTTTCGATATAATTATCGGCATATTTATCGATATCGATATCGGTGTACCTGTATATCGATATATTTATCGGCATACATATACGTATATATATATTCATTGATGTCGAAATTGATAATTTTACCGATGGAAGTGACTTTCTTACTACAAGTGGATCTTGTTGTCGATGTATTTATCGATATAAGGTAATCTCCACTGGAAGAAAGGTGGGAGGGAAGGGAAATCTATCGATATAATTATCACAATATATATCGATATCGTTATCTGTATACCCATTTATTGATATCAACCCATTTACCAGCTGCCCGGCATGATATCACCTCCATAGATGTGCGCTGAGCAATGACCAACAACCAAAGCTTCTACCCGTCGAACAGCCACAACTCCGAAAACCGCACATTTATCAACATACAAATTTTGCCCCCCCCTTCCACCCCATCAACAGGATGAGCAATGTAATAGGTTTGCGCCTCATCGGCGCTAGGAGACGTTGCGTGACTCACGTACGTGCGTAATGGCATCCGAAAGACTAATTCTAAGGACAAAGTGGAACAAGCATCTCAAAATCTGTAATCTTCCAAGCAGGGCCAACAAGACGTGGCCGGCGGTGATATACCTTTCCAACCCCATACCGCCCAAAGATCACGTAGGCCTCATATTTGGCAATACGTTGTCGTCGGAGCAACAAATTTGTGCGTGCATCTTCAGCTGGTAGTTTATTGTGAAACCCGAGGCATACCATCATGCTTTATAGGCTGCTATTTCCAGAGCTTGGGACCAAACGGAATCTCGATTCAAATATTGGCCGGCGGAAAACGAGCACCTCAGTGCAACGAGAACTTGTTACTGACTTCCCTCATTATATCCGACTTGTGGAAAATGGGTAGGATAATCCGCTCTCTGAAACCAGGAAAGTAGGCGGATCTTGTAGAATCTTATAGACTAGAACTGTGGCAAAGAATATGCCAGTGCTTCTCCACTCTTCCAGAATAAGCATCTGCCCATCAAATAACATTAACACGGATTCTAAAAGATAAGCAAGGGTCTGAAACAACATCGATCCTGTGCTAACTCGTCCCTTTCATATCGGCCGAGGCGGTTGTTCATTAATTCATTATCCTGGCGAACGCCTGTCATCGGTCGAATTCCGCAACTCTAATAGCAAACCACTTTGGGGGTATCCCAAGATGACATACTACATCCGACACATGGCTAAACTCGTGCCGCCGTCAGCTGGAGTAACCTTAGTGAGTTACTCCGACGACTGTACTATCTTGGCCACGATTACTGGCTATATCTTTGAATTTTCTGAATTCTTAACCGAAACCTACTAATTTCTGAGGCTACATCTTTCACCACACTTTTCACAACATGGGCAAAGGAGGTCAGGCTAAAACTTAATGCGAATGGTGATGACCTAATTAGCCGACGGTATACCACACCAAATGTGGAAAGTCACGTGCGATGCCCCATCAGGATTTTCTGCGAACACAACCGCCATTGACATTAAGCTTTGTCGAAAGAGATAAGGTCCTTAAGTCACTTACAGACACCATTTGGAGTGCCGATAAAGAAACCTTGCTGGTGAGTTAAGAGACCATTAGAGGGCAAGTAATGAATTATGATGGGTCTAACACGGGTTTAACGTCTCAGGCCCTCTGAGTCGGTTCCGAATTCAACTCGTATCAGTTTTCGGATTCACCAAATTAAGGATCAAATTCAAACTAAAAAACTGGTTTTACAGACCTATCTAAACCAAATGGACTACAAGGAGCTTGACCCACCTTTATGGAGACAAGAACAGAATGCATTCACTTCTCAGTTGTAAACTATCAAAAGGGTCAGCTTTTCGAAGAAAATTGTGCCTACTTACATCGTCAAATAAGAGTGTATTTCGCAATCATCGCCGTCCGCTATTATAGTACACCTGTAAGGCTCCGCATTACCAAAGATTAGCTCATAGATATAACCAGCATCGAAGCCAGCCATCGAGGTCCACACAGTGCCATCGCGCGTATAGCGGAGCCAAAGCACTGGATTGGGCGCAGCAGGTATATGTAAGGGTTCCTCTTCTTCTTCGGGCTCAGAATCGGCTGCATAAAAGTGAAGAGCAAATGAAATAGCGAATTAACAACTGTTCTTAACTTAAGGGGGTTCTAAAGCATTTACCCAACGCCGTTTCCATGTCAATTTGCAAGCCCGGATTGGCTGCCTTCAATTTCTCCACTTCCACCAATTTGCGTTGACGTTTCTTCTCCTTGCGTTTCTTGATTTTCTCACGCTTTTGATCACGTCTTATGCGACTTTTAACCGATACAAAGCGTGTCGACTTCATTTTCTGCGGATCGGTAATGTTGTAGGAGAGAAATGTTTGCTCGTCTGTGACGCGTGCGGGTATTTGGTATTCATATACCTCACCAGTTTTGCAGCCCATCAAAATTGTGGAATACTGTAGATTTCAAAGAGTAAACAAGTACATAAGAAATTTTCAAAAACTAAAAAAAAGAAAAATAGAAGCACCTCATCATTCCTCCAGTTGAAACAATTCACCACAGCATCGAGCACCACAAAACCCATTGGTTTCAAGTACACCATATTATTCTCCTTGTCTTCAATGTTATACACAAATATGGACTTGTCCACGGAGGACACGACTAGGCAGGTATGCCTCGGATTAACTGTCAATTTCGTGATGGCACCAATATGCGCCTTAATAGCGCGCACCAAATGCAACTCCACTCTCTTTTCATTGCGCAAATCCAACACCAATTGACGTAGTATGCCATCGTCGAAGCCGGCGACCACATCCATACCCGTGCTGGATATTTTTGTCGAGAACCAATGCAAATCGCTGCCGCTTGAAATAAACTTCTTCTCCAGCAATAAAGTGTTGCGTACATAATCGAATAGGAAGATCTTGCCATCCTCGCCTAGCGTCATTAGATGCGTTGAAACGGGGCTTGTTTGTGCGGCAACCACTTTGCCGCCATGACAGCTATACAGCTTTTTTGGCTTGTTAGGCACGTCGTGAGTATTGAGATCGCAATACCAAATACCGCCATTGCCATCCTGCATAGAGAAAAATAAATAGAGAATGGACAAAAAGAGACGCCTCTCTTAAATCCCTACACCCCAGCTAAATTACCTGCGCATAGTAGCCAAAATCATTGCTGTCGAATGGTTTAATCTTCTGCAGCCCACATATCTCACAATCGCCCACCTTAAACTCATAGATCGGCTCGATCTCGACGAAGCGATCGTCGTCCGGCGGATCGGCTAGATCAACTGTTTCCCAATACCAAATACGTACATAACCATCCATACCCACAGTCATCACTTCACCGTTCTCCATGGTGATGCGTGTAATTGGCTTTGTGTGACACGGTTTACGTCCCTTGCGCGTAATCTCGAACTTAATCAGGCCCGCTTCCCACAACAGCATATTCCCCCACTCACAGCCTGAAATGATATTCTCATCGGGCAGCATATAAATCGCATAAATGTCACTAAAATCCGTTTTGCCAAAGCGTCCCAGCTCGCCTTTCAATTTCAAACCGGTAAAAGTGTTGGCCATTTTCCAAAATTTTATATGACTCAGTCCGCTTGAAGCCAAGAGTATCGGATTGAAGTGAGAAAAGTGTACGTGCAGCACATTATTCTGAAAGGATTTGGAACGCAACACCACATGACCGATTTGCCAACGCCAAATGGTGAGCATGAAATCTGGATAGCCGGCTTGTGAAGCGAATAGCTCGCCAGTGGAGTTATATGAGCCGCAGGTGAAGCAAGACTTGGCCGCATTCTCCAGCTTGATGCGCACCTCGTGCGTGGGATATTCGTAAATGAATATAGTCGGCGTTGCACCATTTTCCGCAACGGTGAGCAAATCGATGAAGTCGGGATGTTCATTGCGCTGAAAAGTATGCAGGTTTTTTTTTTTAATTTCCATTTTTTAAAGGGATGTCAAAGTCATTTTGACTTTGAAAGTTATACCGTTATAAATCCAATGCCGCCACCAAACACCGATTTGCGAAATGTAACTTTGCGTGTGGGTATGTCAAAGTAATGCAAATAATCACCGGAAGCAAAAACCAATGTACTGTCATCGATGAGCACCAAATTGAAGAAACGCTTGCAATCATAGCCAAAGGAATGGCTGAAAGTAGTTATAATTATTTATCTACATTCATACATACATACAGACATATGTACATACATACATAATTTACGAAAAAATACATAAAAATACTTACCGCAACTCTAAAATATCATCGCCAAAGGAGGGCTCTTTCTTTGTTATTACTTCCGTTTCATCTTCATTTTCCATTTCTTCTTGCTCGGACATGTTTAACTATTTTCGAAACTAAAATTATTTTCTTGTAGTTTTTTTTTTGTAATAAAATAAATTCCTATTTTATTATTTCACAAAATATTCATTGACACTGGCGAATGAAATTGGAAGAGAAGTGCTATGAAACTCCGAAAGTGGTACAGGGAAAGTTTGTTTGCGCGTTGCCAAGCAGTTGTTGCTTTCTGTTCAAAACCTTGTTAACTTGTTTAAAGACTTGTTCGAGATTATTTCGGGGCAAGCGCCCGACTTTTTCGACTGTTTCGTGGCCTGGTCAGGGTCATTTCGGGATCATTTTGGATCTGTTCAGGACCATTTTTTAGACCATTTCAGGACTAGTTCTGGACCTCTTTAGCCTAGTTCACGACTTGTCAAGACTATTTTATTTATTTTGGGACTAGTACGGGTTCAATTTAGGTCTAGTTCAGGACCTTTGGTGGACTGCTTAAGGACAATTTCGGGAGCAGTCCAGGACCATTTCAGGAACATTTTGAGAGAAGTAAGGGACCATTTCAAGACCGTTTCAAGACTTGTTCGCGATCCTTTCGGGATAAGTTCACGATTTTTGTAATAACGACTTCACGACTACTTCAGGACAATTTTAGAACTAGTTCGGGACCATTTCATGGTAGTTCGAAACTATAGCTGAACTATTCACGAGGTGCTTAAGAAAAGGTCGTGTACGGACTACGACAAAATGAATAGAACGAAATGAATTTAAATTAATGTTTAATTTCTAACCTAACCTATTTAAGTATGTACATAAATGAATCGCCCAATCCTTTGCGAAGTTGTACACAGATGTTTACACATTAAATTCACGAGTACCTGGTACAGACGCCCTTTTTACGAGAAGAAAGCATCGAAAGTCTTTACCCGTCAGTGTGGGACTGTAGCTCGAACTAAACCTCCTGCTGTCGGCAAGTACCGATGCCCCGGTACTATAGCAAGTTCTGCCACGTCTTGCTCTTAGGGAAAGACTTACTTTTTTAACTATTTATTTATCTCTTAGAGTTGACATACAAACTCCCCACGGTTTATGAGAAGCGGTGCCGGAGAGACATTTCTTGGCCAGATACATATATGTAAATCTGGGTCGTATTGGGCAGGCGTTCAGAAATTAAGAGTTTCAAGCCCGTGTATGTAGGCTCCCCACTTACGCTTAGGTTGCTAGAATTCGTGTTCGACAGACGGTCGGAAAGGACGTGTTTCAAAACCATACTGCTTTATCGGTTGGAAAACCTAGGTTCCCATCCACTTCTGCACTTCGGATCAAGTTTGTTCACTGGTGATACGCCACTGTCTCTCCAAACCCCTTAATTGTTTCAGAATTGAAGATTGTGTGTCGCTGGTTGATATCCATTCGTCGGTCCCTTCTGACTATCAATCTCAATTGGTTCATCTTGGGTACATGGTGGAGGTCTTCTTCCACACTACTTCCGCAGTAGTCGGCGGTGGGGTCCCGCTTATGTTGAAATTTGAGCAGGTATGCCTTAAAGGAACAATGTACGCTGAGGAACTGGCTCAGATAAAAATCGACTTCGTCGAGCGTTCTAATAATCAGTGTTGGTATGCAATGATAGTTCCAATGATCCTTAGTCGTACTGTTCGACGTGTTTTGCCCCTCCTGGCTCAACCTCGTTCTATTTGAGCTAAAGCGTGGGGGCGGCTGCCAGGAGGGTCGATTCTTTGGCCACCGTTAGACATCGATTACGAAAGCTGCTTTGTCCGACACTGTTCTGAAGGCGCTACAAACTCGAATAAAATAATTGGCGTTTAACCACAATCGCAAAGAGTAAACACCTGCGCTGTTTCCTTGCCTCTACCCTTCTACAGAAATCGTTTCAAACCAGGCGGTCCTGTACTGTACATTTTTACAGATTAGTCCAACTATTCGAGCATTCTCCTCAACTCGTGAGGCTGATTGCTTTTAACCACTTCGCCTAATCCTACAATCTCCGAATCAATCCTACCACTGTAAGTGTTTAGACTTTTGCACAAGCCTGCCTGGACTTGTGTTAGGTTGGTTCTTGGTTCCCTTTGGAGGCCGATTTCGTAAGCAGTTGGGTGTTGGTAGAAGGATATGGGTATGGTGTATATGGCGGTTTCCAACGAGTTGCTGTGAAGTCAGACTAGTCTTGCAGGCATTCCTTGCGGCTCTGTGGACTTAGCGTATGATGAGCGTCTTTAATTTGACTGATATGCTTTCCAGCATGTCGCAATGGTAAGCGTTCTGCCAACAGTTTAGATTATGGTTGGGATTGTTTGGTCTATGAACAAACCCCGCTTAGACAAAAGCATTTAAGGTGTTTAACTCCAACATTTCCGCTGAATGAAGCTGGTCTTGGTACGACATCAGCAGCCCCACTCACACTGGATTAACTTTATTTAATACAGACCGGCCGATGGCTTCGCATGTGGCTAACAAAGTTCTAAATGGGCTTCCAGCTAGCGACTTGAGTCTCATGTTCTTGCTGTGGAGATTGTTGTTGCGAAAGTAGGCATTTTGTGTGCGATTTAGGTCTCACCGACCTCTAAGTCAATTTTTTGCTGGGTTGATGCTTTCAAGTTTCCCCTATATATGTACATATATAAAAAAAATAGTACCATGAAATGCTAACTTAACAGTTTTGAGCCAATCGATTACTAGCCTGGAGAGGCCTAGCAGTAAGCGGAGTAGACTTGCGGATAGGTGCTACTCCGCGCACAAAAAAATATTTGGGATGTAAGCTTAGTTGATGGTCCTTGGTCTGCCGAATATAGAAACGATCTTCGTGAGATAGAATTAGCAGTATTTAGAGAATATGCCTTAAAATATATAACATGAAACCCGTAAAGTTGTCATTCGTAATCGACTTCTGATGAATGATTATCTTGAGAAATTCCATGCAGCCAAATTAAAATTCCAATAAAATCGCTGAACAATAATACGACTACCTACATCTATATTGAAAATATTAAAAGCTTTTAGATACATTCAAAAAGGTTTAAACTATTTAATGACAAAACATGTGAGTACGAATAGAATCCTTAAGCAATAAAATGTACTTAAATTTGTTGTTATAAATGAGTACTCTATAAAGGTAGCATTTAAAGGCATATAACACGCTTCCATGCGCTTTCCCTTTTTCTCCCCTTCAGGATCAACACATTAAATCCTTAAAATCATCATCATCCATAAATAAATCTTCAATATTTTCCAACTCCTTGCTCATGTCTAAATTTTTGGCTGTAGCAATTGTGGCACTTTCATTCTCTTTCACTTCTTTATTTGGCTCAACACTAACCTTTGTGGTCGGCTGGTTTTCCATCTTCACAGGCGAGAAAAAGTCTTCGATTTTGTGCGACTGTTAAACAAAAAAGTTTTACACATACAAGTTAAACTAAAGTTGTTTTAAATCAATCATATATGTATATGCGCACTCACCCCCGTTGGCGCTGCAGTATGCGTAGCATCTTGCAAATTTTCACAAAAGAGCCCAGCTCTATTTAATACATCCTGTTTATTTTTCAACATATTCCAAATAATATCGTCAGCGGTTTTAGAGGCCATTAAATAACGACAAATAATCGGTTTATTTTGGCCAATGCGATGTGCGCGACTTTCAGCCTGCGCCAAGGTCTGGTGAAACCGAATAGAAATTAAAATAAAAACTCAAATTTAGTTAATCTTAGCATAACCAGTATGCGCAAAATATGTCAAATTACACTTGGATTCCAGTCCAACTCGGCAAAAATTATCATTTCAGCTGCGGTCAGCGTGATGCCTGCATTACATGCGCGCAACGAAAGCACAGCCACCATGCAAGACGGCTTTGTTTGAAACGCGTCAATGTATTCCTGTATATGGGATCATTTATTTAGTATAGATGTACAATATAGCCTTCAAATTTATGCGAAATCTTACAGCTCTAGCTTCATTTTTGGTGCTGCCATCAATGCGTATGAAATTAATATTCAATTGATTTAAGCAATCAGTAATGGCGTCCAACATGACACGATGATGTGCGAATACAATAAATTTTATCCTCTCTTTGACTAAATTTTTGAGATATGCACTTAAGGTTGTTCATTAGAAAGGAAGAAAGAAAGAAAGATCAGAAAGAAATGATCAGAATTTGGAAATTTGACTTGCAACTTACCAAACAGCGCGCGCTTTAACCTCAGCAGTTGTTGAATAAAATCTCATAAGGATCTGCTCGCGCTCACGCCCTACGCTTGAGGAAAAATCTTTACTAAGCGTCTCTAAATCATCACTTGTGTCCTTATCTTTACTGCCAATAAGCGCTGGATCCAAAACAACTGTTTCGCTATAAGAAAAATATTAGTATTTTACCATTCAAATATGAATAAATGATAGCTCTAAGTCCACTCACCGTTGTTTCTCAGCCAACTGCGGTAGCACAGCTTCCTTTGTGCGACGTATCATGAATTTCAACTTCAGCACAACATTTAATTCCTCTAGATTCGATTGACCCGAAGCATCCCAACCGAATTGTGTTTGTTTGCCATCACAGTAGCGAGAAGCTGTTGGGCAGTATGAAAGATTAAGCAACACTACACTCTTCATTTAATAATTTTGCGTACTAAATTCCATAAATGACATGAACTTGCGATCGATCATTTGAATTTGGGTGAACAACTCCAAAGGCCGTGAAAGCGCTGGTGTGCCTGACAGCATAAGAACATGACGCGCTTGTTTCGTCAGACGCCCCGCTACCATAGCACATTTAGTTTTTGAATTCTTTAAAGTGTGCGATTCATCGAATATTACAAATCCAAATTTATGTTGGACTAACTGTTCCACATGCCGATCCATCATATTATAACTGGTAATAAGCACTTTTGCATCATCCAAACTTTGTTGATTGTTGGTTAGCACTTGTATATAATGAATCGGTATGCGAGGTAATAGCTCTCGTATGTGTGTTGCCCAGGACTCTCTGGAAAGGAAAAGTGTCAATGTAATATGCATGAGTAAAAAAAGAAGAAATTTACGCTTCTCTACCTAATGGAGGCTGTTGTGCATATAAGCAGTGGCCAAGATTCTCTATAAAAGTCAGCTACTGCCAGTGCCTGATACGTTTTACCAAGACCCATTTCGTCACAAATCATCAAGCGACCATGATGCGCTATAGCAAAGCTGTGAAAAAGAATGCAAAATTATATCCGAGTAGATAAGATTTGTATCAGTTGATCTTTAATTGAACTTACCAAACGCCATCCTGCTGAAATGGCATCAGTTTTTGCCCCAATTTCGGTTCAATCGAAGACAAGCAGGAGCGTTCGATTTCCACAGCTGGCATGCGACAAACCGCAATTACGCTTTTTGGTATAGTGCCAATAACAACTTCTGGATTCATAGCAGAAACGTGATCTTGCAGTAGTTGATAGTCATGCAAACCAAAACTCCAGATATGTTTGGTACCATCTATAAGGAAACGTAATACAGCAAATTAAAGTTCAGACTATTAAGAATCTTTTAACTAAGCGCTACAAACCATATCCCTTCGATGGTATACTCTTGAATACATCAATCAATTTGGCATGGAAACATGAAGGTTGTACAGCGAAGCGTGTATTGCTCACCATGTACACCTTGCAGCTTACTTTGGTAACAAAAACCGGCGCTAATTGTTGTTGTTGTTGGCTATTGTTGGGCGTATGTAGTGCACTAACATTCGGCTTGCTGTTGGACAACGTATTACGTTGGTAAGGATGCGCTTGATCGCGTGCATTCCTAGCATAACTGCCGATGTTATTACGTTTTAAGTCATTTAAGAAATTTATAGCTCCCGCGGAATGTTGCGGAGTCTTTTTGTTTTGATTGTTATTTGTTGTAGATTGCTGCTGTACTTGATGTTGCTGTTTAAAGAAGGTATTCGTCGGAATAGCACCTATGGCGTTACGATTTTGATGCAGTGTGGCATTCCCGGATTTGTCTCCTGAAGTTACAGAGTTAGCTAAGCGTTGCTTCTTTGCGGCTAATTTTTCCAAAGCTATACGACGTTTCTCCGCAATTTCAGCAGCACTACACATGGACATTTTACTAAACTTTGGTATATTTACAACATAAAAAAGTGCTTTTAATTTTTGATACTTCACTGGCGCGAATAAAAATAAATAAAAATTCAAATACACAGCTGATTGAATGTAACAACTCTGTACTTAAAATACTTTACACCCAACACCCACTAGAGATTCCACATAGCAGTTCAAATTTTAATTTTTTAATTTCCTAAATGAAGGAAACTCCGCTTTCTANACATTTTACTAAACTTTGGTATATTTACAACATAAAAAAGTGCTTTTAATTTTTGATACTTCACTGGCGCGAATAAAAATAAATAAAAATTCAAATACACAGCTGATTGAATGTAACAACTCTGTACTTAAAATACTTTACACCCAATACCCACTAGAGATTCCACATAGCAGTTCAAATTTTAATTTTTTAATTTCCTAAATGAAGGAAACTCCGCTTTCTAGCTTAATCCGCTTTGCTCTTTCAAGTTAGAGAGTGGAAGAGGTCATGCTTACTATTTCTTGTATCGGCTTCAAAATTTGAGTAGCCTTGATATGTGCAATATAAAAATGCTTCAAAGGCATAAAGAGGTAATACAAAAAAAAACCTTAATATACACCTAACAAAGCACGTAAAGATACTCGTATAGATTTACGTTCTTTGATAGAACGCAAGCGAGGTTCTCACGCAGGTGAAGGTGGCCAATAAATATATAACTAAAAGCCATACCTAAATAAGCGCGTCAAGCGTTGGGCCTGTCGGCCTCTCTTCTAGCGTATATAAATTTAATGCGTCAGAGAGAGATAAAGATACAAGGGAAACGCTCTTCGCGCTAATTTAGGTACGGCTGTAATGGAAAATGGAATATGTGTTCATCTGCACCACCCTGCAACCAATCAGCTGTTTTGGTAATGTGTATTCGCGATCAAAATAGAACATATAAAATATAAAAACAAAACAGAGGAAAACGTATTGAAATCAGTCAATATACTTGAAAAATATTAATAAATTCACATTAAATTTCTTTAAAAGCCAAACCTTTCATTTATCGTGGTCATCAGTTACAAACAATTAAAAAAATGTGTAGCCTACAGGCAGAGGAGAATCATTTGGCCTCCATGGCAGTAGCTCCATCAACTCAGGAGACATCATCAATAGTGACACTCTTCGACATAAGTTGGCAGGATGTTTTGATACCAATGGTCACCGAATTCCTCAGTCTCAAAGACTTATTTAATTTGCGTTGCTGTTCGCAAACTGCCAAACGCTTCGTGGAAGCAACATTTGAGCGTCGCAAAGACATCAATCTGGCTGGCAATAATAGTCGCAACATTGAATTAGCATTCACTGTCTTGGGAAAGTGCTGCCGTCGCGTTGAGAACCTGTATTTGGCACGTTGCCATTGGTTGACAGATGAATACCTGCTGCCGATTTTAGCTGAAAATACCCGACTGCGTATAGTAAATCTAAATGAGTGTGTCAATATAACACCATTAGCACTCCAACCGATTATTATCGAATGCAAGGAGCTGCGCATTTTGAAGCTTTCCAAATGTCAGTGGTTAACTACGGGCGCCGTTGATGCGCTGACTTTGCACCACAGCAATTTGGTTGAGTTTGACATTTCACACTGCACTGCAATTGGAGAGCGCTGTTTGATTATATTCTTCCGAAAATTAAATAAATTAAATGTTTTGTCATTAGCCAATACACCAAGTGTTACTGATCAGGTGCTAATACAGATTGCCAATTACTGCCGGGCACTGGAGCACATCAATTTGGTTGGCTGTGCTGCTATTTCTGACTATGGTATACAGTAAGTACCGAATTACTGATGGTTAAGGCATGCAGTTTTCCCCTATGTTTTAGCAACTTTCCAGAAAACTCCACCACACACTTAAGTATTTAGTGCAGTACCCTCACAGTTTTTTTTTTGCATTTCTCTTTTTTCTATTTGCAGTGCAATCGCGACGCATTGCACTCAGCTACGTTCACTACTTGTGCAACGTTGTCCGCGTGTTACGGAGCGTTCATTAGCACCGCTACGCAAACGCGCGTACGTCGATCGACAAAGTCAATTAGATATGTATTTAAATGACTTCTACCCCAGTGATTTTCTCATTTACTAATTTGAAATCTACATATTATTTATATACATTTAACTATCAGAGGCAATTAAGACAGCGGAGTTTATTTATGCTCTGCTTTTGTGTTTATTTGCAGCGCTTTAACTATAGCTTGCCAGCATCTACAATCGCTGATGGTACACCGATGTCCGAACGTAACAGAGCGGGTGTTGGCGCCACTGCGTGGTCGCATCTATATCGATCGTCCGCAGCTGGGCTATAATGTGCCAGCTTTTCCCGGACATATAAATTGTCTATATTTGCAAGTTTAACTCAAAATGGCTATTTCACTCTATTTAAGACTACTATATTTTTGTGTGTGATTCTCTTTAGAAAATAACTTATGCTAGCTGTAATTTTAAACTCTAGTTTATTTACAATACCGATCAATATATGTATAACTAAATACAATTAAAAAATAGTTGTGCTTATGCTTTCACAATAGGTTCTCACAATAAATATATGATTGGATCTGCTTATTAACGGAACCGCGTACACTTAGCTGAAACTGTAGAAAAGTTAGTTTTTGTAGAGAAAAATTACAGATTAGGAGTTAAAATTGAGTGACCAGCTGCATGNTAGGTTCTCACAATAAATATATGATTGGATCTGCTTATTAACGGAACCGCGTACACTTAGCTGAAACTGTAGAAAACTAGTTTTTGTAGAGAAAAATTACAGATTAGGAGTTAAAATTGAGTGACCAGCTGCATGACTCTTTTGGGGAGTGTTATAAGCAAAATCATTGCAGAATATCTACATATAAGCATTAGATACAAGACAAAAAATAAAAGCGGATCGCTTCTCATATTACAAAAAAAAACACTCCAACACCTAATTCGTAGACCTTTAAAAATAAATGGCCGGTCTCGAACTACTGCCAACAAATTATTTTCAGCTTAATTAAATGTAAAAATTTAGTAAACCAAATGCGCATTATTGTGCATCTATAAGCGGCGAGGTAACGGACGTTGAATTTTCAGCGTTGCCAAGCTTTGATGCCGACGTATTTTTGCTAACAAATTTGTCTTCTGCATTATCAGTTCGCCACTGTGCATGTACCTGTTTCAGACAATTATATGCACGCATTGATATATTCAAGCTAGGCATAACTTCCAACAAGCCCGGTTCATTCATGAAGGACAATCCACAAAGACCAAAATATGTGTGAAATGGATCTGTTGTAGATTGTGGCCATTTGGAGAAACCACCGACTATGCTGTCTTGTGTCTCCATAATGTAGGCGCGATTTTCGGCGTAGTCGATTAGTTCAAAGGCACCTAAAATACGTAGCGCTGCACCAATCCAAAAGGAATAACAGGTATCCACAGTTTTGTTCGGACGTCCCTGGAAACCATTTACCTACAAAAAGGCGTTGCGCATTAAAATATAATATTAGAAAGGCAATCAACAAATAAGTACAACTCACTTGTCTAAAAATGAGCCAACGCTTTATATTTTCAATCGTTGTCTCGTCTAAGCGATGCAGTTGGCCGCTCAAATCTAACGCAGCCAAAGCGCAAAATGTAGTACCACCATGCGCTTCACCCTCCAAATACTGACTGAAGCCATTGTCATAACGCTGCAGTTGTAAGAGGTTTGATTAATAATTTTTTTTTTCTAACCTTTCTGCAATTTTAAATACTTACAATACAACTTTTTATGAATTGGAACATTTTCTCCTTATCCACATCTCCCCAATAGTCTAACATATGGCAAATGGCGGCTGCACAAAACACGAAACGCATATCGTTCTCACTGCCGTCTATACAGGCGCTAAAGCTGCCATCTGGGCGTTGGACTGCAGCTACGCCTGCGATATGAGAGGCATTTTTTATTCCATTTTATCCTTTAAGTATGTATGTATGTAAGTTTGCTACTCACCATCAACAATGCTTTTGCGATCCAAACGACTCAAGTCATCACCAAGTGTGGCCAATATGCCAATACCAGTGTAAGTCATTGCAAGATGACCCCACTGATAGTACCTGGCATTAGTCTGCAGTTGCTCATCATCGGAAATAATGTTAACACAACGTGATCCCTAAAAAGATATAGGAATTAAGGAAATTACAATTTTCTCATGAGTTCGATTATATTGTTTGTGTCATTTTCGATTTAAGAAATTTGTTGTTATATTGTTATATAGTATATGTAGGCGGTTGAACTTACAACTTGCAATATCGCAAAAAGTCCATAAAATAACTAATGAATTTGATACAAAAGAAAGGTTCGAAATGGTATTGCTAAGAGCCAAATTTTTTTCATTTTTACATTACTTATTTAAATTATTTGTTATGCTGCTGCTATGATAAAAGTTATTGCTGCTCTTATAACACCAACGAGGTATTTGCTAATTCGGGAACCGTTAAAAGGATATGATACGTTTGACTGGAGAGTACATTAATACATATCTGCCAACATATAATATTTCATTACTTGGCAAGCAGTTTGCTTAAATTTAATGTGTTTGTTTCTTAAATTAGCCCTAATAACGCAAGATTGTTATCTCATGAAAGAATAGCGATACTTGCTTTTAAAGGGGAACATGAATCACAGCATGTTTTTTTTTTGTATACTGAAGTAAACACAAAAAGTCACGGAGCTGCAGAGCAAACATGTTTTAATACAGTTGAGAAGTTCGTAAAAAGATAGTGAGTGGTTGACTGTTTTATACGCGACATATGTTTATACATACATACATATAGATAACATGTTATGAGAACACACGTACATACATATGTATATAGTATTGTGCAAGTGTACATGCAAATAAAATAACATTACTTTCTAGTGGCTTATGATTAATTGCCTGCGCTATGACGCGGCATACGGAGTTAAATCCTAGCCGCTGGTATTTACCTGAAAGCCACTGCAACATTTCGTTTCTCCCTCCTTCGAAATTACCAAACCACCATATATCCATTCAATAATGTCCTTTTGCATTTGTGGTGTTAGTAGCGTCAGTGAATTCAACACATCCAGGCCGCATACAGCAAAGAAGGCAATGGTGCCCCTGTTAAAAAGAGAAAATAAAGACATTTTAAGGATTCGTTTTTAATGAAACCAAATATTTTTTTTAGCTCACCTTGTGGAGTCATGTGAGGCTAGGCGCGCTGGCAGTAAATTTAAAAATCTCACAAAAAACTTAGCATGCTTTTGTAACAATGCTGGCTCCTGCTTTTCACCTTCTATAGTCAGCGTGTCGTAGGACATTTTGCACTAACAATTTTTTCCTGCCGACTTTTCCTTTAAATTTTCTGCAATTAAAACACCTGATTGACCAGTAAGGTTTTTNCTAATTAACAATTAGCATAAGCCGCAATTAATTATTCATTTATTGATAATCGTAACTTCGCGTGCTATGGACAGCCAATCACCGTTGTTTGCCTTTTCTCCGCACTATAGCTACTCAGAACCGCATTGGTTGCTGTTGGAGGTAAAAATGCGCGGTTGTTGTGATCTATTTGCATTTATTGTTCTTAATATCAAGTCTGCATATTTGTTTACAACTTCTTGTTTAACTAATCTGGTAAAAACGTATAAAATTTGCAATTTGCTATGCTAAATGAAAAAAAACCGAAATTGCTATAAAAATATGAGAAACAGCTGACCTTCGCAGGGTTGCTATACAAGGTATAATAAGGGTGTTCGTCATGGAAGAATTTTAACGAACATTAATAATTTTAATCACATCGGTTTGTGCAGACCAATGGATTGTGGCACTTGAAGCCAATTTACACCAAAGCAAAAAGGGTTTGATTTGAATAGAACTCGGCCGAAAAGAATCTACTCGTAATCGAAGTGCAGTTGAAACCATAGTCTATATCGGAATCCTGACAGATTAAGACCAAAAAATCGAAACGTATAGTGAAGAAAGTCAAAATCAAAAGCAATGTGCATATACAAAGGTGTTGGGTTTTGTCCATCCGAAAGAATTAAAAAATTCTGTGAAAATTTATTAATTTTGAAATGCAATCGGCGACACTCTCTGAGAGGGAAATTTGAGAATTCTTGCAAATTCCCAATTGTGGAAATTTTTTTATGGTGGTTTGCTAATTATTGCAGACCTTTTACACGCACACTCTTAAAAAATGATATGATTATTTTCTAGCATAATTACGCGAACGCATCACATCGAATTGTCAGTAATCAGCTGTTTCATTTATCACCTGGAATTGCATTCACGCGTTTTCTATACAATTGATCGGTTTTATAACAAATACCTCTGGAAAAATGAGGCTAACGCAATTTCTGTGCACCAAATTAAAGAACTTCTCAAACTTGCCAAAGGAATATATAGAGCGGAGCAAGAAGCAGGTTTGTAAAGGATCTTACAACCTCCGAAATTGCTATCAAAATAGCAGCAACAAAATGATATCAATCCGCATTCATTCTTACATATTCTGAATCCACACAGGTATACTGGAAGACACCTTCTGGTGTTCCGAACTACTTACAGCGAACCGTTGAACGAAAACGGTTCCGGTACACCACAAATCGCTCATGGACAGGCCAATTTCGACAGCAAAATATGCCCGGAACTATACGTAAAAAAGTCTTCCTTAACCCAGTCGGTATGCCAACATTTTTATATTCATTGATATATTCTTGTAAATAAAACTAAATCAAGCTACATTTGTACAGAGGATTGGAGTTTCTTCCGCGGTGATCGAGTTGAAGTGCTTGTTGGCAAAGATAAAGGGAAGCAAGGCATTGTCAATCAGGTTATCGCCGAACGCAATTGGGTGATAGTCGAAGGTTTAAATTGGCATTACCGTACGGTAGGTGGTGAAAAGGGGTTTCCTGGCGTTTTAATCAAATCAGAGGCTCCTTTGGATGTAAGCTATATAGTTGTGCCATGAATACAGTTTTTAAATTGTTAATTATACTTTCCATGAAAGGTCACAAAAGATGTGCGTTTAGTAGATCCATCGGACTTGCAAGGAACAGATTTTGAATGGCGGTACACCGAGGAGGGTGAAAAAGTTCGAGTATCCGCACGCACAGGCCGTATTATACCCATCCCCGAGACAAATAATCAAACATATGATTATAAAACTCCTAACGCTTATATTGAGCGTGAAAAGGATACTCCCGGTACAGTTCATTTTTTTGAACCACTGTTTGCATACTTATAATTTTTAATTTGAAATGTATTCTAGGCAACGTTGTGGGAGAGATTACTTTCCAACCAAAATTAGCAACATTTGAAATGGATATTATGGAAGAAATGGGCATTGTTGAAGAACGTACGCCTAAAAAAACTTATTGGTATTAAGTTTAACAATTATTTCATTTATTGGTTACTTAAAATGTTATCAAATATAAACTATTTAATTATTTTTAAAGAAAAGTGTCAATATACTTTATAATTAACTACATATTTAAATTAGCTGCTGTTAGTAAGCGATCAATATTTGCGAGCGGCAGTAAAAACTTCTTGCCTATGATCCCTCAAAGTTTTCGCCAGATTACGTACGGTCTCTTCCGATTTATCGAAGTCTTGACGTAAAGTTTTATTAAACGTTTCATACAGCCACATCGATGCTTTGGAAATATTACTCTCAAAAGAGGTGAATACTTTCGTTGTATGCTGATACCTACGAAGTAACAGTAAAAATTGTATGTCTTGAATAGCTGAATTTTAACTCTTCATTTTACCTTGAAAGATTTGCAATATCTGTAATCATGTACGTATTGCAATGCTTCGCTGCCAGCAATTGACGATTGCTTATATGTTTGATTTCCACATGTGGCAGTGCCAACTGTGCACACTCCACCGATATCAAAGATGCTTGTAGAGCCGTACGACAGTTTAAAGCCAGCTGAATTTTATGTTTTGGATCGCTACAAAAGAACATGTTAAAAGTTGTGCGCACCATGAGCGTTTGATTCAGTTAAACTTACATGGCTTTTGCTAGCTGCTGCCACTGTGTTAAAGCTTGCGTCGCTGAGCTTGCACTTGCGCGTAATAACGTGCCGCATATGCGCCATTGCTCCAATGCGCTGCCAAGCTTATCTCGTACATCACGCGCTGCCTCCAACTGTGCGTCCAAACTCTCTTCCAAGCGTGTCATATACGTGCCACCACTTATGAAGGCTGATATTTTATACATTCATATACATACATATATGGAGAGGCAAGTATGTTTATTAAAATACATATATATTTTGAAGATGTGTACGCATATTTGCAGTTTGCTTACCTATAATGCCATCATGATGCACATACAGCTCATTCAATTCATTGTAGCTCTCCGTTAACGTTTTCAGTCGCGCCTTTGTATGTTCGAGTATTTCTGTATAGTATTTAATCGACGTCACATAAAGCGCTGTTCGCTGAGATTGGCAAAAAAATCCTCATGCGTGGAAGCCTTATTAGCATCATCGACAACGCTCAAATTAATGGCAAGCTGTGAATTGAGTTTAAAGTTTTAGCAAGTTAGCAAAGTGCGTATGTAATATATGTATATATGTGTGTACATATGTATTTTAGTATACGAAGAGTGTAGGTATCTATTTGCGAATGTGTATTCAGTTTTTCTAATAGCTGGTTTGTAATGTTGAATTAATTTACGAAAGACAAATCGCCAGGCTGCCCAGGCGTATGAGTAACTTTTGTAATTTTTAAATACGTGACGGTAACAATGGCCTATCGGCTTGAGGTGTTTTAGAACCTATTCCGAGCAACAGCAAAAAAAAGTTTTTTCTACCATTGGTCTTCGCTCAGCAGTTAATGGAAAATCGCCGATAGTAATTCTGCCATGAAAAAGCTTCTCAAACGTACATAGATACATACATATGTATGTATATGGGGGGTTTCATAAATTTATTAATTTAAAATTGGCCGGGATGTGCGGTATCGGGAAGAAATATAAAAATATGGCGTGCGCGACGGGACCAAAATCCTTTCCCGACACTCCCGATAAAATCGCCAACCCCGCAAATTCACAAAATCTTCTTTAAAAACGATGTTTGAAATATGCACTTTTTATTAAACAATTAAAACAATAATCGGAAGATACCAGATCTTTGATTATTATTTAAAATTATGTAATTTGAAAGACATGAACATTTTTGTCAACCTTCGATACATATCTCGAGAACGGGGCGAGGAAAAAGTTTGAAAAAAATCACACATTCACACATCAAAATTCTCTATGAAAAGAAATATTGTTAAGTTTTTTTTTTCTGGAAAAATTTTTCACATACAAATTTTTTGAAAAAAAAAACATTAGTTTTTAAAAATATGCCATCTCAATAAAAATTGAACAAAATCACAATGGTAGCTCTGAGTATTGCGCAATATTTAGGTATAGTATTACGGGGTGCACTCGACAATAATTTGAGTTATGCATTTTTTTTACACCGAAGTTGAGTAAAATGAGTAAATTACAAATTTAAAAATCTTTTTAAGCTTTAGCTACGTTCTATTATAATGTTCAAAAATGTTGCAGTATAGATGCCAAACGTACGATAGTTATAGAAGTTTTAGTACATACAAATTTTTAATAATAATTAATTTTTAATTTTATTAATAAGTTATGTTACGTATAAACATATGGGTGCAAACGTATGAGGTTTAAGAAAGCTTTATTTTCAAAATATTTTGAAGAATATTGCCACCTGTTTAAAAGTCAAATACCATTTTCCCATATGTTAAATAAAGATTACAAAATGGATGTTAATCGAAAGAAGTATGAGAAGGCTTTATTTCAAAAGTATTTTTAAAAGGGGTTGCCACCTGCGTAAGTCAATTTAAATTAAATCAACAAGTTAAATGAAATGATGTCAAGTCTACCAAGAGATATTTAGAAAGGCTTTATTTCAAAAATAAATTAAAACCCGAATTAAATTTAATCAGTTATTTTAACGAAATATTACAATATGGATGTCCAGCGAAATGGCTCAAAAACGCCTTAATACGAAAACATTTGAAGAGGGTGTCCCTGTTTGAAAAATTGTATTCAAGTGAACATTTGCAAAAAGGAATATCTTTCGCCTTTACCAAAAAGATAAATGAAATATACCAATGGGATATTGATATGAAACAAAGAGTCTTTGTTTTTGTTATTGAGACACATTTTTTTTTGAAGAATTGTCACATGTTAAAATAATTTAAAAAATGTAATAAAATGGCCAATTTACTTGGGCAACTTTCTTAAATAAAATTTATTATTTTCGGTGATATAAAATATTTGCATTTTGTTGCATCTGAAATCGGGCAGAGTTGCGGGCAAAAGCTAGTACTTACATACATTAGGGCGGGTTAGTTTTTTTTTTTTTGGACTATGTGCGTATAGCATAGGAGGATTCTATGTGTAATCCTACGCAAATTTGCCGAAGAAACCATGGATCTAAAATTAATTTGGAGTTTGCCAAATTACGAAAATAGGTTTCGTAGAAAATGCGAAAATTTTCACTGTTGCGCCCTCTAGTGGAAGTTTTAAGAAAAAGATAAGTGCGGAATGGATTCCTTATACAAAAAAAAAAAACCCTTAAACTTCTTTACGACACTGCATGGTATATTCGGCAAATTTTATTAGAATTACACGTAGAATCCTTTTTTGCTATACGAGCTTAGTCGAAAGAATCTCCAGTACAAATTGATTCGCCCTAATGTACATACATATGTATGTATTTCGACTGGTTGTGACAAACATCCGAATAGCATGAAAAATTATGAATTACGGCCAATTACTTAATCAGTCTTTAGATTTCTCAATCAGTCTTCATAGATATGTATCAAAAACATAAGCCTACTCGTGCGCTAACCTCTATATAAACACATTTAACCCAGTGGCTTGTTAGCTGTGTTACATATACATACATATGTATGTATATGGTGTATGGACGTGCAGGTGAATATACATTCATACCCTGTCGTGAAGCGCATCAGTTCCGAACTCGTTCGGTTCTAAAAATTTTGGAATTAGCAAATTTGCGTATCACTGAATGGAAACGGTTAGAAATAAAATAGATAGTTCGATCTTTCACAAAACGATGCATTTATAATTGTTCTGGCTGCTTGCAACAAAACATTATTTTTTAGAAAAAGTGGACTTATCAATTTTGTACTCTAAGCTAGCGATATGTAGTTAAAAAAAAAAAAGAAAAAAATAGTTTTTTAATAGTATCATATTTAGGTGTTTTTGGACTGGTTTTGGACCCAGCTACCATTAGACTATCATCGCTTTTGGCGATAAAGAACTGGTACTGAACTATTAGAAATGTGGTTCACCAGTTTGGAGTTTCCCTGCAGGTTATATATGTACATACATATTTATATGTGTATGGGTGTAAATCCTATATGTATTTGTTTATATTAACGAACTCACATTAGCCAAATCCTGGGTGGGTGTATTTGCCATTATGTTATTATTAGCGTGTCGTGCCGCCGCCCCGCCTATGCCATTTACTATGGCGCCATTTCCGCGTCTCAATGTATTTCCGCCATTCAATAACATGCCTCTATTTGTTGTTGTAGTTGTTGATGCCACCACCACACTGAGTGGTTGCAATGGTGGCTGATGTATGGGTGGTGGCGTAGCTGCATCGATCTCATTTATAGTTAATATTTCACTATTTATTTGTTGTTGGGGTTGTTGTTGTTGTTGTTGTGGCGACAATTCATTTCGTTGTAGATTCAAGGCCGCATCTAAGTTGTCAACACCTAAAAGAGTATCACGTTGCGATTGCAAGTGTTCGACCCAGGCTTCGGCGGTGGCCATACGCGGTCCCGGACAAGTCGCCTCCAGTTTGCTGATCCGTTCGTCCAGATGCACAAATTCCTCGACAACCGCGACGGGATCCTATGGGGGAGAAAATATGGAAAGGGAGGGGGTTCACTTTTACTCGCGCACTCGTATCGGTATTCGTACCATATCGCCTTGCTGCCAACGTTCCAAGCTCTGTATGGGCTCTTCTAAAACGCTATTCGTATCCATCGATGAACCACATCCCATCATACGAGTAGAAATTTTATGGATAAACGCATATTTGTAGTTAACGCGTAATTGGGCACTGCTTATGGAATTCAACGATCAATGGCAAAGATAAAAGTGTGGAGCTGCGCACAAAAATGTATGGTTTATTGGAAATCCAAGCACTTTTTATTTCATTCATAAACTAATTCCTATTATAATTATTTTTCCTGCCACTAATTACCTACTTTACTGCTTATTTTCTTCACTTTTTTCTGTACTTAATTAATTTTATATTTCTCCATGCGCTAGCTTACACTTCGTTGTTCACTTTCATAATTTCACTTGTCAATCGTTTGACCGCCAATTTCTAAATGAAATCCATTTACTTGCTTAGGCTGCATATTAACCTAACGAATGGTCAAATGGACAGCAGTTCGTTGAGCTTTAACCCAACTGCATTTTAAGTATATATTTACATAAATATACCTACATATACATGCATACAAACATATCCGATGGTATCCTTTTATACAATTTTTCCACGCTCTATTACAGGCATCCCTGCAGGAAGTTTTACTCGATACTAGCTAAGCCAATTCGTGTCTAAACTATCTATCGTGCCGCTTTTTCGTTACATCGAAGTTTGCATTTATGAACGTCCTACCGAACGTAAAGAAGTTTTACTTCAAAAAATCTACCGAGCACCTGGACCTTGCATCTATTAAACGCTTTATCTATACAACTTATCTATTGCCAGGAGAGCAGCTTGGCAGTCTTCACCTCTGCTTCCGTTTTGCGGGGCTATAAAATTTAGAGATGGCATCCTCTACGATGCAGCTTCTCCTCGTGCAGTCAAAAGCGTCTTTAACAAAAAAATGTGGTGTGTGTAGATTTGTAATCTAGTGTCTTCTCAAGGATTTGACGTGCTGTTAAAATCTGGTCAATGATGGACCAACTCTGATATGGCCAAATCAGTTGCGCCCTGAGGTGATTCAGTCTTTCACAGTATCGTCGATCGTATCTTAAACCAAGTTTTATAAAGTCGCATCGCATGGTAATTGACACAAAACGGCGGAATCTCTCTTCTTGTGGATGAAGAAAAGTGCAATGTATTCACGAATTCATCCGGCGAATTTCTGCTTAATAGCCGGCACATGTACGCCCTCTTCACCTCCGGCAGCTTAGCTAGTATTCGGTCGGTTTCAGGTCCTTTGCTGTTTTTAAGCCACATTATTGCTGTTCTCATTTCGTTCTAGTCGAGTGGTGGAAGAACATAAGCCTCAATACTAACTATACACTGGTCTAGGTTTACTTTATTGTCACTATGTCAAAAAGTATTGAGGAGTCTTATCTTCATATCTCAAGTGTACTCTGGACGTCTGTTACCATATTCGTCTTTGCTAGAACCCACCATAGGCGTGAAATCATTGGCTGCCTTAATTTCTGGTTTAATCCAGGTAATCCTCCGAAATAAATTGCCTTCTTTGTGCGAGATATATAATATAATCTTTTATAGATTAGTTGGAAAGTAATACCTTGCAGGGTGTGTTGTTTAAAGGTAAAAATTCTCACATACTAAATTACTATGATGGCCTTTGCTCATAAATATGTCCACATTTTATAATAAGTACATATGTATATGTATTTGTACACATATGTACGTATGTGTGTACGTATGTATGTATGTATGAATATATTTAACTGTATTTTGTGTGAGCTATATACATACCCTGCAGCAATAAGGCGGCCAATTTTCCGTTAAGGTCTAGTACTTCACTGGTTAAAATTTGACTGGTCAGAATTGGACATTTGCTTGCATCGAAAATGTCAGCCTTCGACCAGTCCCCAAGGAACCGAAACCCTGCAAATGTCCCAATCGCTTGGTCTGGCCTTGATGAAAAGTGCGCAGAGGTGCTTGCCACTATTTGTTAGCTTTCAGGAGGGTCCAGGTTCAAATGCCATCAGAAGCAACATGGTTATAAAATGATAAAATTTTTATTTTTTTTTGTGTTTCCAAATTATGAAAAAGCATCTGCGAAGTGC